GAACTCTAACCTGAAATCAAAAATATAGCATTCTTTTCGTATCGTCTTATATTGGTTTTTGAAGAAGGTATTAAAAAAAACTTTGTAGAAACTCGGTAGACTTGACGTGGTATATAATTGCCTTGTATGGAAGTTGTTAATTCTTATTAATTAAATTCTCAAATGTGCTATAACAAATATATTGCTTTAGTATGCGCGAAATTTGTAAAAACGTCGTCAAGCGCATCACGTCTTTGCCACACTTATAATGAACTCAATGCTGCTATACCTAATCTAGACATATTATTTGGTTCCTTTGCAAAGTACAAATTTGCCATTTTAGAATACATGTACGCGAGCGTACTCAATTAATTGTGTGATTGTTATTCTTTTGATTCTTTATTTTGTTTTTAATGATTTAACTTAAATTTAGTTTTTTTTTCTTATTCATAACTTTTTGTTTTTGCCTTGTAGTTAATTTCCGTCAACGTTTCAATTTTTTACGCACCCCTTCCGCTAACCAGCGATAGATTATTTATTAATTAACAAACAATCAACGTGCATAAAATCAATCAACCTGTCTACCTTAAACATTATATTGGAGGTTTATCAAAGGTAAGAACGACGACTGATCCGTTTTATTTTTCGGTTTGCAGTCTGTTTCTGGATGGTTTTGTAAATTATTCATCCGTGCTCTCATCCCCGCCCCTTTCATGTCACGACCTAAACATCCACAATGAATATCAGCATCTGTCTATGCTGAGGCTGATGCCAATGCAGATATTTTAATTTATGCGGATTATCCACGGATGCGGATGCTGAAAGTACTCTAGTCGCCTTAATAAAATTTGTCATCGTGTTACGGTAAAAATAAAAGTACAGTCACATTCACAGACATATATCTAGATAGACGCCTCAAGTACAGCAATTTGTATGAAAACCGAGCGTGGCACCATGACGTCACAAGAAATATTTAGTGATGGGAAACCTCCTTCCGCGATAAATCGATTGATTGAACGAAATACACGTATTCCATTCAATGAATCGATTCAAGTATTCGTTGATTACAAGTAGTCGTGAAATATTAATATAGTAGAAAAATACCAAAACAAGACAGTTATGTCCTTTATTACAAGTTGTTTTAAAAAAATTTTGATCACTTAAAAATTTAAACTTCAATTTTTAACCAACTTCAAATATTAAAATTATTGTCCTTGAAATAAAAAAGCTTATTATATAACCGTCTTTTTGTAATAGAAGATCTTATCGATTGACTTAAATAATGAAAACGCACGTCAAAATTGAACTTTCAACTGCCTTAATTAAATTTACTAGATGATTTTCCGTCGATGATTGATCAATTTAGTGAATGGCAAGACAACTAAAAATATTACTGCTGCCAAAATATCGTAAAATCTTACTAATTAGAAGAGGTTTACTTAATGTCGGCCTCGTGTAAAGTTTTTGTGATTTGATCATGAGTTCTCGGATTTAAAACTCTGCCACTCTGCATGTTTGGATAGCATCTTTGGTGGGATATACTAGTCCACCTTTGTCCTTGAAAGTAACGAACTCATACATATGACCAATTCCAGGTTTTTGTAAAGACAGCGCACTGTTACATTCTTCGCATTTTACATTTTTTTGTATTACTCCTACTACATATCCAGCGATGTATGTAATTATTTGCTCACTATATTCGGACATTCGAGGCAACGTGCTGCAAAAATTATCGAAATTACAGATACTATTGATAATAGATACTACAAAACTGAAAAGAAAAACGAAACGTTATAACAAAAGAGTTATAAAATATTTTTATAATATTGCTAAGGTCATAATAATTTTCGTCCTTTTGTTTTCAAAATCGATCAGAATCGAGAACAGTGTTGCCTAACGTATACATACCTAACTAAATGTTACTTTGGCCAAAAGAATGTACAAGCGGCCGTACCACGAAACTGAATGCATTATACAAAAGTGCGTTCGTTCGATATTCATGACGTATTAATTCATATTTGTGATAAATATGTCGCGCCAAGTAAAAGCCGCAATGTATTACAAATTATGAGGCATACACTGGTTTGCATATTTGTTTTCTCGAAATTCACACAAAACCAAAATAATTGTTTTTAAAATAAATTATGCATCTTCTGATTACAAAATCACTTGCCCGTGGAAGGAGAAGTCCCTGTTTGTTTTCGCGTTTTCGACTGATGTTTATCTACGATAACCGTCGAGCGCGTTCTGAAGTGTAGCAGCGGCAAGTAAGTGAATTTCACTTTCTTTGGGCATGCGAAGTACGTACACTTGCGGCGTCTATCTAGATATATGTCTGTGGTCACAATGAAATCGATCTGGGGGCCTAGCTTAAGTACTATAAACTTTCAAAAAACAATCTTGTTTCAATGCAACCTTGTAAACTTATTATAATATTCTTCATATTCGTAACATGACAAATTTGTCAACCAAGTAATGTAATTATTGTTAAAGGGATGGCAAGAACGAATGATTTCCCAAAATTATCTATTCCTTGCTATAAATAGGAAAGAACAATAATAAATTGTTTCCACTGCATACCAGTAACTATTTTTAAGATTGCTAAATTTGACATAAGAAAGAATATTACTACAATGTCAAAGTCGCGTCATAGTACGAATTGGTCTGTGGTACGAATTCAGAGAATGAATAGTCATAAAAAATCCGTCCCCGTCGAGTGATTGCTGCGGAATCTTATGATTAAGGACCACGAGTTAGTTCGAAACATGTCGAGCAAAAATTCGACTTAAATACATAAGTTATCCGTTATTTTAGTTTATATACTCTCACGGTGGAGTTCTATTTAAAATAAAAAATGTCATGAAGTGTTCTGTAACCGATTGCCTTTGGAGTTTTTTCTAGTACCAGTGAAGACACTGTATGGTTTAAGAAATCAAGACAACGACCAGATTACGTTGACACCCACGCCGAACCCGGTGTCAACTTCGTTTGTTGAATCAACTTGCTATACTCGTATATGTTTATCGTTAGGTATCCATTTCATGTAGCGACCCCTCTTAAAGCGTCGGTATCAGAGAATGAAGTTTTTGTGAATGAATTGTGACCCAAAAGTGTAACCTTTCTACCTACGTGCAACCTCATGGAAAAACCCAGAACAATCTCGCAGAGCTACAAACTATAATGTATTTTTAAAATTAGTTTTAATTTATGGAACGCCGCCATTTTGATTTGTTAATTTCATTTTTAATTTGTTTCATGACATTGAATTCAAGAGCTTCTTCAGTCGAAATATTAGAGATAAAAACATGAAAGTAATATAAAACAGCAATTGTACAGTAATACAACAAAACCGCTGTAGCAGACACTTCATAAACGTAGTAAAATAAATATTTTTGTTGTAACATTATCCGCTAAAGATGTAAATCGCTATAATTGTTTCTTTCAAATAGTCAGTAAAGTCCGAAACGTTTGATTGTTTGCAAAAAAAAATATATACGCGATTTATTATAGTGTAAGTAGCAACCGCGAAAACCTAAGAAGTCGATGTTATCAGATAAGTTGGTCGCACCGTAAAATGTTTCGACACTCGAGTACATTGACTCAGTGCCTTTTGAAACTTGTATTTCAATTTCACGAATAAACTACTAGTGATATTGCAACATGCATCGCGGAATGACGTGACATCCAATTGCACTTAAATTGTCCACTTTTTTTGCTTGGCCGTTTTCAGGTGTTGCAAACATTTTAATTTCTCTTTTTTAGTCATCAACTCATTATACTTACCATTGCTGTATATGGGTCTTCAGTAAGGCCAATGGGAACATTTTCCAAGGATTGTTTTAGGCAGGTTTCATCACGATGTTTTCTTTTGCTGTTAGGGAGAGGTATTGCTGACAAACATTCACAAATATATACATACCTTAATAATTAAAGTCCTAGGTATATGCTGCCACAGGTACTCGACACCTTTGACCATTCAATTGAATAGCGATCGGTATCCCGCGGGTTTACCGCCGCTCTAATTCTCTTTATGTGATGCAAATAGGTCCTAGATTATGTGCGCCGAACGTAAAATTGTCGGCAGCGCTTCGTGATCGGCGTAGCATATTATATACTTCTGGGGTGTAAAAAAGCGCTAACGATGACAATCAACCTTTTCATACATTTTTCACGTTTTTGTACTTGATGATTACATACGTACATAGGTACTGTTACCAAAAATAATCAAGTTAAATAATGTTTGTTAAAAAAAAAGACTTTCATTCAAATCTAGAATTAATAGCATATACATAGACAGTGGAACATAATAGCAGTAGAGCTTCTTGTGAAAGAGTTCGTCCAGGGAAGTACTGTGCCACCTTACCTATTTCAGCCGCCAAGCAGTAATGTGAGCATTACATACAAGTAAAGAGAAGGTGAAATTACAGGCATATGGGACTTGTCAACTTATGTCTCAGGGTGTCGGGCGCAGTGGCAGTGCCCCTCAGATCATTGAGATAAAAAGCACTGCGTGGCACTGCAACTGTAAGAAACAGGCGTGGCGCTTACCACCAGGTATACGACTTGTTTGTCCCGTCACTTAGCATTATAAATAAAAAATATTTCAATGGTACGGGAATATTGTATTGAAATATAGTAAATAATTAAAATTGAAGCCAAAACTTCTTTAAAATTAAATAAAAATTAGCGACGCCGATTGCACACGGGCAACGCGGCACCCGTTCTCGATCCACCTGTTAAAATGGGTTTATCCCCACATAATATAGATCACCAACAATTTTATACAAAACTGATATTGTGACACGGAAAACATACAAAACATTATTCAACCATATTATAATAAAGTTAGCAATAAAAAACTAGTAATTATAACCAAAATCAAATAAATAAATAATTTTAACACTACAAAGAAAATAAACAGCTTTTTGAAACAAACTCAACAAATTTGAAACTTTAGGTGTATTTTTAAGGTTGAAATAATACCCGTGTATTTTATTTATAACATCGATCTAAAATGTTGTCAACCCCTGCCTATCGTTCGTGGCGCACTTTATAGCATAAACGGAATAGAGTTCTGGAATCGAATAGTTCTCAAACCAAATATTTCAAGATACAGCTTCAATATGGGCTGGCGACTGGTGGGTAATGTATAACCAAATTAACTACCTTTTGAGATTTTAAACTAGTTTTCTGACTGAATATTAATGGATTAGATTTGTTCATGTTTCATATCGTGGAGGTATAATCAATATTCAACTTCTTTTTAGCGAATGTAAAGTACTATACTGTACCGTATGAACATACCTAGATGCAGGACAACTCTTAATAAATACTCTTGACGACTTCGGTGGTCTTGCGATTTACATTGTGGGTGCTGGATGCGGAGACCCCGGGTTCGATTCCCGGTAGAATCAACTTGGGAAATGATTTTTTCAAATCTTTTTATATACATACTAAACAGTATACTGTATGTGCAGCAACAGGCGTTAAAATTATATATCGGGAGAACTTGGAAACTACAAATATTTCCGAACGCGGTTGCTCCGTGTTTTAAGTTATTAATCGAGGTCTACCGTCAAAGGCATTGACAAAGTCAAGAAAGTTTCGTTTAATTGTTATAAATACATACTAATTAATAAGATAACTTTACAGGCGGCAACAGCATTTGGGAATATTCGCGGTTTCCGATTATTCACGATATGTAATAATTTACGACCCAGTATTTTATCAAATGTACCTACTGTACACATATTTATTGAAATAATTATAATGTTTTTTAACAACTCTTGCCTTGGATGAACAGAGTGTCAACTCAAAAATTTGGACTTTTTACTTTAAAAATGTGCTACAACAAAGGAATTGGTTTTGCGACGGTATAATGTATTAAATGAATAAAGTTATTGAGAAAAATGAATACAAACGGGTACAAATAAACAAAACAGTTTTCTTCAACCGTTAACCGGCAGCAGGAAATTAAAGAAAAATCAATTTGAGTCGAGCTACGGAGACTAATTATTTGTTTATTACTTTAATCCTGTTACTCATAGAGATGGCATTCATAGAGAGGCTTTAGTTGACTTTAAGAGGTAATAATAGATTTACAGATAACAAAACTGCTATAATCGTAATAGTAGAGCGCCTTGTAAAAGAGTTTGTCCAGTGAAGTACTGCCACCTTACCTATTTCTGCTACCAAGCAGTAGTGTAAGCGTTACTATGTTCCGGTTTCGAAGGGTGGCTGTGCTGGTGAAATTACAGGCACATGGCACTTGTCAACTTATGTCTCAGATTGTTGGGCGCAGTGGCAGTGCCCCTCAGATCTTTGTGATCTAAGCTCTGAGTGGCGCACGACTTGTTCATCCCGCCATTTAGTTATTATAAAAATATATATTTATATATGCGGTGGCTTATTAGAGATGTTGCCGTTCAGAGTTCCGACTCGGTCTGTGCCTAATCAATATACCCCTTACAAAAAATAATGTATTACAAAATAATCCTCTGTACAGGATATGCGGGTATTACAACGACGAATGTACCAATTGTGCTATCTTTAACGTATTTTATATTTATTTTTTATATTCCGGTAAAAAATTTTGCGTCCGTTTAAGTATATCTATTTTCGAATGTTGGGCACATTTATAATTGGGCACAGATATGCCAGCTGTAAACAATATATTGTTTGTTTCTGATGTCTGTTATTGTGCCTTAATTTTAAAAACGGAACAAAAAATAATAAAGCTATCTTTTAATTGAATAAAAACAAAATTATGTTTACTTTGAAGTAAGTACAAAACTTTGTATTCAAAGCAGTTGTTCGGAACCAAAATCCTCTCTATGAGTGTCATATTAAATGTATGGGAGCGCTTAACATTACAATCTTGGATATTCGAATAAGTTATTGATGATATTTAGGGAATAATCGTCTGGGCACAATTAACGATTACACTCTGTATTATTCCAATTCCAATATCCAAAAAAATATCAAAATTCACTTGTAATTAATAATTACCTTATGTTGTAATTTATAATATTAATTATGTATGATGGGATAATTTGACAAGCACCAAAGTCTAAGAGATGTGTGAGTCCGCTTTTAAAGTTACGAGAATTCTCGGTGATTCACGATAAAAAAGGCCAACAGTTTTTGGTAGAATATGAATTATACAGTTGGTAGAGTAGCCCTAAACCAACAAGATTTTTTCGGAACTTTCATTCGGTTATTTCCGTATTTGTACAAAAGTTTTGATAGCTCAATAAATAACACAGTAACATTCATATTTTGAATGAGCTCATTTTTAATATACTTTACGAAACTTTTATTACTACCCAGTTTAAATCGTAAGTGCCAAACTTGACGGGTTCGTGACCGTGTGTAGTATTTTATTTCCTTTATGCTAGTAGCTGAAGTTAGTATATTTTTATTTTATGTTATAACATGTTACATTGGTTTTATCATTATAACGTTTAAAAACGAGGCCTCGGGCTCCATTAAATGGATAAAATTGAGTATTCTCGACAGACTGCGCAAAAAGTTGGCAGCGCTCCCCCGTTGCATGACTTGCTAATACAGTGGGTAATGTATCAGGCAGCTTTACGTCTTGATAATACAATTATTTTAAATTAAAAACAATATAGAAGACATTATGACGTATGTACACTGCAAGAGGTTAGAACATCCTTTGCCCAAAGCTGGTAAATAGTATAAATATATTGTATATAAAATTTAATATTGCAAATACATCAAAATTTGAATTAAAGAGGAAATTATTTTATTATAGACACCGAAAATTTAAATAAACTGAACATGTAATTTCTTGAAATACACGAGTTTTCATACAGAATCTCCCACATATACAAACACACATCTACAAACGCACGATTCTAGCACTTGCTCTTTGATGCCTTTTTATATACCTATAGTTTAATTAAAATACTTTAAAATATTTTTATTAACGTCTCTGTCAAAATTGGTGCCAATTTAAAAGCAATACGTTCGAGTTGGGGAGTCTGGAAACTAGATTTCTTGATCTGGTTTAGATTCCAGTCTCCAACAGATTTTGTTCTCTATTGAATAAAACCTGACTCTGTAACAAATATTTTGTAACCAAAATTTGTGGATAAAGTAAATTATTATTATTAAAATCCTCTGGATCTACCACACTTCTATTAACTTTTTCAATGTCTTTTTGTGGTTTAGCCCTTAAGAAATTATAGCAGTAATAGACCTTCCTGTGAAAGATTTTTCAAGAGTTTCCCAACTAAACTTCTCTAGTGCGAAAGTTTGTCTAAAATGTAATTCTCGTTAACATCGTCATTTGTTTCTGCAAAAGAGATGCTAGGGTTCAGTAGCGTGTTTCTGGCTTAAAAATTTAGTACATACATTAAGAAAATGCAGTTTTAAATATTCCTTTACTTCATGAGTAAATAAATTGTAGCAGTAGAGATCCTTGTGAAAGAGTTCATCCTGGGAAGTACCGTCCTTCTTCTACTGCCAAGCAGTAATGATTTCACATTACTGCGCTCTGGTTTTAAAAGTAAGGGTGCTGATTAAATTATAGTCACACGGTACTTGTCACCTTCGATCTCAGGGCTTTTCGATCTCAGATTTTTGCGATTTAAAGCTCTAAGTGGCATTGCAACTGTTATAGACAGGCGTGTAGTTTACCATCAGGCGCCCGTCTTATTCGTCCCATCACTTGATATTATAAAAAGAAATGTGGGAATATTACGAAATTGTTACGTCATCACTAGGGCTTTCATCCTGGGAGTATCCGCCTCAAAAATTTCCAGACTCGACTATTGTTTGGCATTTCCGAGATTCATCATTGGTCCGAGAAAACATCAATCTCGGAAATTCCGAGACTTTTGAAACCTTTGTTCTCCATCTGAAACTGTATTAAACGCCACTTTCTTTACATTTTTACATTATAAAAATTAAAAAGTAACTTGCATAAATTATTTGAGTTATTAAAGAAATCATAATCAGCTTTCATCACTCGTAACTAAAATCTGTAAAAGATTTGTTTTTACCGAGTTTTTCGAGACTTATTACTTTATTCATTCCTTCAATAGTTCCTTAAGTAATGTTATTACTTACATAAGTTTAAACTTATGTAAGTAATACCGGTATGTAATGTGTTATGTAAGTAATAGGTCGTTTAAATTTTCCTTAACCATAGATTCTCGCGCAGTTAAATTGATCACAAAAAAGCACTGCACTCCATTAACAAACACGAAGCGCTGTCCAAGCAATTCCCGAGTTCCTACTTTCTCAACTAAACTTCTCTAGTACTAAAGTTAGTCTAGAATAGAATGCTCGTTAACTTCGTCAACGTTTTAAGCAAAAGAATAAACTTAAGAACAATGTTTCTTACTTAAAAATTTAGTACCTACATACACTTACAAAACGTACTTTTAACGAGCGTAGAGGAAGTGTCCCCGAAGTCTTTGCAATTTGATACTGCAACTGTTGTGGACAGGCGTGACGTTTACCACTCAGGCGCACGATTTACTCGTCCCATCACTTGATATCAAAAAAAATACAATGAAATAAAGAGAACGCAAAGAGATCAGAATGACATATTAAACGACATCGACGACATACAGTAGGAATTGATTCGGACGTATAGTCATCTGAAAAAGGTGAATAAAAGAAAGCTAACGCAAAGGCTGGGGGTACGTGAAGCAAGATTAAAATTTATGGCTTTAACTTTTGCAATAAGATATAATGCTCCTGTCTACACCCCAGAGTCTTGACGGAGCATATGCAACATAGTTTATTCATATTTAACGTTGAACGCAAAAAACTTCGTGAAAAAACTTACATGAGATCGTACAACCATAGTATAATAAAACAAGTATGGTAACTCCATATAATAAGCTTGTATATGCGCAAACCAGTCGCGGGCCGTGTGTGCGTCCACATTCTTATAATAATGAAAGGCGCGTGTAACGACCAACGCTATTCAACGCGAATGCATCGCGAGATTATGCGAATGTGTACCGTGGAATGCGGCGGGCGCGCACATATGAGAGACACGCCGCTACGTTCGTATGAAGTTACCGTACTTGTCGTATTAGACTTTGATACAACTGTTCAAAGAAGTTTAATAATAATTTGCCAGACAACCCCAATTACCTGGTCTTAAACTGAATTCCCGCAACGAAATTGACTTTGTGACTCTCAGAACACCCAGACAGTAACCAATTTAGAAAATTCAGTTCCCAAATTGGTCCTACTAGGAAATAAATGAGAGATCTTTTGATCCAAAGCTCACAGCTCCAACGATAGGTCCACCGGGGTTGTCACGTAAAATAATTGTTTTTGACACTTCATATGAAAAACGCAGAATGCTAAACATGAATAGAATAGAATAGAATAAGCTTTATTGTACACAAAGTAATAAACAGTGACAATATAAAAAAAAAACATAGCTAAAGCCACAATCGGAGGCCTGATCTCTTCCAGGCAACCTTACAAATTATTACGGAGTTTTAGGTGAAGGGCAGTTAATGGTGCACAAAGCAGCTAAACGATATGCAAATTGAACCGAATACTTTCTTAAACAAACTTCACAAAAACGTACTACGTATATATTATAACATACATACACATTGCTTCATACCAAATATATAACTATATACACATACAAAACATATAGAATATTCTTGTGATACATATTGTATATACACACATATATACATTGTTTTAATTTGGATGGCGAATACTTAACTTACTCTACTAAATTGAAATTACCAAGTGATAAGTAATGTTTATTTACCGATTCCTTAAATTTGTCAAGCGATTGGGCACGTCTTATTGCTTCCGGCAGGTCTCTCATTTGTAGAGTATCTTTGTGAATACGTGAGAATTGTTAAAAAAACTAATCATTGCTTGGAAATCCAATGGGGTGCATTATATACTGTGTCCAATCATGGGTGGCAAGTGTGGGGTAAAAGTGTTTTAAATAGTGTTCATAGTTGTTAAAATTTTATACAACTTCTTAACATTATCTCTAGCTGCCACAATGCCAAAAGTCAGATTGTTTATACTGATGGCATTGCCTTACAATTATATGGACGTCGGGTCCGCGCTAAAAAGTGTCCGAACTTATAGGGCGTTAAAATCGTATACAGAGCGTCATTCACGCTTTAGGCTTCGTTTGTTCGACTGACAGCGAAGCAAGCAAAATTAGACAGTACTGCGATGACATAACAATTTAAAGTCAACGTTTTAGCTTTTTCATATTCCTTTACATGTCACTACGTTTAAATAGATTGACTTGAGACATTTTTTTCGTGGTTTTTGTATTAGACCCGTCGTCCATTTATTTGTAAGTTTTTCTTCATGAAAATGGGAAAAAATAATTGAAAACAATGTAATTTCAATAAATTTCATTATTACAAACTTTTCTTTTTTTGGCAGTTAAAATTCTCTGAATGTAAGTAATATTAAGTGATTTAACATTATACTACGATAGGACGATTCGGAACATCAAAAAAGAAAGATGGCATTATACAGTTCATATTGCGTTATTTCTTTCCTATTTTTAGTAAGGAATAGACAATATTAGGAAATCATTCGTTCTTTCAGTCACACTTTAGCAATAATACATTACTTGGTTGATATGTTGCCATGGTGCGAATATGAGTAATATTATAATAAGCTATAAGCTCACATTGAAACAAGATTGTTTTTTGAAAGGTTATGGTAGGCTCCCAGATGGTCATATGAACGTTTGTATCATAATTCAATGTTATTAAGCGTTTCTCTAAATATACGAGTATATATATAATCAGGATAATTCATAGACACGCGTTGTCCGCCTTTTTTATGATACCAAGCGACGGGACAAACAAATCGTGCGCCTGGTGCTTAGCGACATGCCAATCCATAGCAGTTGCAGTGTTACTCATAGCTTGAAATCGCAAAGCGCGCACCTTTTTGAAACATAAGTTTACAAGTCCACCCTTCAAAACTAGAACGCAGTAATGCTCACATTAATGCTTTCTTGGAAGAACTCTTTCACGAGGACCTGCTGCTATCTCCTGATTAACTGTCGTAAACGCGAGTAGCAATAACCATAATTGACAGGGCAACTTAATTTCGGTTTAGTATTTCATATAACAAGAAGTAGTGCTACTGCCACCTGTGTCGAAGTGTAGGGTTGTCAAAATATTATTGTAGTTATACTTACAGGTTGCGAAACATATTTGAAAAAGTTAGGGCATTCACCATAATATTCTTGTATTATATTGAAGTTACCTGTATCGAATGCTGTACTTGCATTAATATTTTTGTACTAGCGTTGTAGATTAGTATCTCTTTTTTGGCAGTATGGTCATGAAACAGAAAGAAAATGCGGGTTTATATATACATAAAGATACATTTATAAATTAAAAAAATGAATCTGAAAAACAATTTAAATATTTTAAACGAGGGAACGCTTCAGTTCCATAATTAATGGCCCGTGCCAACCGCGCTGGGCAATGTCAGTGCCGCGCGAGATTATGCCAATGTGTGCATACGCCACACACGGCGCGCGCCGGGTGTGCATACACACAAGCATTGCTGCTACGTGGAGCTACATTACTTGTCTTATTTTATACTATGGTACTCCACAGTTACAGGACGTTCAGTGGGACGGCCCCTACTAGATAGACGGATAACCTAGTAAGGGTGGCGGGTAACCGACGGATGCACGTTGCGTCCGAGCGGCTAGTCTGGCAATCTTTGGGCGGGGGGCTATGTTCAGCAGTGGACGTTTTCTGGCTGATATGATGATGATGATGATTACACAGTTATGCGGCATTTGTTCATAATATAAACATGCTTGTTGGTTTTGTTATCAACACGTCTTACAAAATCCGGGTAATATGTAATTGCAGTAGAGAATAGAAATTTGATACTATTAATTTTTATTACAGAATGTCTCACTCTCTTAATCTTAATAAGTTCAACGACAGCAAGAATAAGATACCGCAAACCTCTCGTTCACTACCCAAAAGACACATATTATTGGGCCACCGATTTCTTTGTGACAGGATGCAAGAATTTCATAGAGAAATGTCCAACTGTTTACAAGTAAGTTACTTTTATGTAAAACGAAGTGCATCTACCTCTGTTTTATGACGTGCAGTTTAAAATTTAAAAATTGATGTATTAACTTAACCTTTTTAAAATTCCATTTTATAACTAATAATCTTTGTATTCCGATCGTCACACATTTCAGTATAAATTTGTTTTAATAAGTATATAACTTTTTCTATATAAGATTGGCCAATTTAAAACAATATCCTTTGAAAAACTCTTTAAAATAATTGAAATCCGATTGTTTTATCGAAATAAATAAATGTTCCGAAGAAACTTCAAGTAACACCGAGTCCTCAACATCTCAATCCGGTTATTTTAGACAGGATAAAATGACCTTTTCTAACTTGGATAATTTCTGTATAATGACGACTTAACTTGCTATTGTACTGTCCCTCAATTTTTCTAATAATAGTCATTCAATAAAATGAACTAATTTATATGGTATAAAAATATGAATATGTAAGTACTGCATTTGACAAAGGTTATCTCAATATAGCACGAGATTACTGTGATGTATGCCTTAACTTTTTCGAATAATGTTTACATCCTGTACGTACAACTTAAATAATGATGTGACAACCCTACGCTGTAAAAAGCGAGGTTTTACTGCAGTCGAACCATTCGACCAAATTCTTTAACCAGGAGAGTCGCCTTCTACTGATCTGACTTCTGTTATAGGCTGATAAGCCTAATTAGTACTTATACAGAGTGAAAAAAAAAATCAATGAGACATAAAGGGAAACTTAAAAGCTTAAGATAGATAACTTTAGTTAAAAAAATAAAAAATGTTACCTTCGAGTAAAATTACCTGTTTTAAACATTCAAGGTTCCCCTTCATGTCCCTTTGATTTTTTTCCACTCCGTATATTGTCATGTCTTAATTACCAACCTACATATAAAGTCCCACTGCAGGCACAGGTCTCCTTTTTCTTCTAATTTTAAAGTAATAAAAAGAAGCATTGCGATCTTTCTAAACAAAGACTCAAACGTGCATAAGTTTGAAAGCTTGAAACTGGGTTTGATGTTGTCTGAAATACAAGATTAGAAATCTCAAACGATTGGTTTAGTCTACAGATGAGATACCGAGATTATTTACGAATGGTTATAAATAACCTATGAATTTATGAGTCCGCTCAAAATATATTATAGTGGATATGTTCTAAGAGTCCATAATACGTACACGTTTCGCCTTTGAAGAAGTGATTCAATATTAACTACACGTAAAAGTACAATATATGTTATTACACATGTGTTACGTAAAATTCGATCTTAGAGTGGTTACGTATGGCGCGCGTTTTACAAACGAGCACACATTATTGCACTGCCTCACTTGCGACTTATAGGCGATTGCAATCGCTTATAAGTGACAAATAAGCAAACGTGCAACTACATCGATACAGCCGCCTATGTTGAATCACTATGTGCGAAAAATCTATATAAGTCTATCTATATAAGTTTATGCACAATGTTTTTTGTTAATTGTAAATTTAAAAGTGAAATTAATAAATGCATTAAATAAATAAATTAGATAATTAATTTCAAACGTGTATTACGCTTGCATAGTGTTTGTATCGTGTTAGTATCGCGTTTGCATCGTTGCTTAAATTCGCCGCGTGTAACCGCTCCTATGCGTTTTGTGTTATGGCACAATTTTTTTTTACAAGTTTCGTGTTTTATAGGGTGCAATTGATCTGCGCTCGCAACTACAATGGTGATTTCAAAGAATTCCAAAACTATTGCGAGATGGAGTACGAGAACTGCAATACGTGGCGAAGTAAGTCCATGGTCTATAGTTCATATTTCTGAGAATAAGTACGCAAGATTTGGTAGTATTTACTTCTAATTAGCAGAATACATTGCTAACAACATTACTAGAGGCGGAAACCTGTGATTGACTGTAAGGTTTTATCCCTTTTTTAACCAACTTCAAAAAAGAGAAGGTTCCGAACTCAACTGCATTTGTTTTTCTTTATTATTATTATTTGTTTATGATTTTTATGATTCTTTTTTGTTGGGGAGAGAGTATCACAGTATTAATCACATTTAAATTTGAAAAAAATATTCCACCTCTAAGGGTGGCAAACTAGGGGATGAATCCAGATTCGCGCACTTTCCGGTAACCGATTTCGATAAAATTTGGCAAATATATGTCATTCCACGAACATGTGAAGTCGGTTTTTTTACTATTTATGTCTATTAAACCGTTGATTTTGCAGGAAAAGATTTTCATTAATATCATGTGCCGGGAGCAACTGTTAGTGCACGCGGTGCTAAGCGACAAGCCTGTCCACAACAGTTGAATTGCCTGTCAGAGCTTTAAATAACAAAGATCTGAGAGACACTACCATTGTGCCCGTCAACCTGAAACATAGTTAACAAGTCCCATGTGCCTGTAATTTCACCAGCACCCTTAGCCTTCATAACCGGAACGCAGTAACTGCCTCCGTAGCCGAACGGTTACATATAAAATTATGATATATTTATTTCTCTCGTGAGTTGGGGTGTAATTTGTGGTTGTCTGTGTGTATATTCATGGCACCCGCGATACCAGGAATTCCATAGTACGGGGCTAATATAGGTATATAAAAAAAGGAATGCTCACGTTAATGCTTGGCGGCAGAAATAGGTAAGATGGGTGTATTTCCCTGGGCGAACTCTTTCACAAGGAGCTCTACTGCTACTAAAAATAGGTACTTTAACGCTACCACTCAGAGTGCATTCTGACTGCGGGCGGGACTGTATCGTGGACGTTTATGTTATCGTTGAACGACTGTCGTGTCTAGCTGTTCCCACTAGATCGTGATGGCAATTTATCCGTTCACGGCAGCCGCTTTGTCGTTTGTACGACAGAATAGTTTGAAGCTGCGATTATCTGTCGTCACATTTTTATCGTGACGTTTTATTTATCATCGAACGACTGTCGTTCTAGCTATTTATGTGAACAACTTCGTATAAATATACAAGCCACGACACTTTAAACTGCACGACTCTATGTCGTCACGACATAATGGGAACGTACGCTAAGATACTATTTGAATCACAGCATTAAAAATACGCAGTTGAATTCATAAGTATATGCTACTGGCCATCTATTGAATTTGTCCTTTTAATGTTGAAAAATTAACGTTATATACTCTCTAGTATATCTTGAAAAATAAGTAAAAAGTGAACCAAGCATCAGACGGTTACATTGCCCACGTCGAAATACTTCAGGATAAAGTATTGATCCCCAGATAAGAACACTATGTGAACATTGTCTAGACGAAGGACAAAATAAGATTTATTACTAGACAAGCTTCTCGTTTATTTCAACGAAATAATTGCTAAGAACAGACGCTAAAACAGTATTGTAGAAACGTTAATTAAAAAAAACAGGAGATGTAATCATAATCAGAAAAGGGGAATAATATAATATGTGCCAGGCATCCACGCCAATTGCCTGACGTCAAACTTGGAAAATTCCTGTACTATGAGTACCAACGAAATTCACTCTATGGCACTTCTCAGAACACGTAGTCCGGATTTAGCATTAATTTACAAAAAAGGTTCATTTCCCCAAATTGGTCGTACCGGGAATCGCACCCGGGACGTTTGCATCTAGTGCTCGCAATGCAAATCGTGTGATTTTAAAATGACTTTATATCTCAAATCACATATAATTCGTTTTTTTTTCAAACGTTCCCGGTTTTTACAGGTCCCATGCTTACGGTTGACGAGTCATCATATCTTAGAGCATATAGGACGGGAGACGCAAACAACACGTTGGTCTCACACAAACAAAAATCGACAACACTAGTTTATTTTTACAAATACACAGATAAAACACACAATCATATCATGTCCGTACACAGAACAGGAGTATGAAAAAAATCGATTCTCATAAATATGGTAAAGTCGGAAAGTTATCGACGTGATAGTGTCAATATGGATTACGTACAGGTTAATCACGTAAATGAAATGTAATTCCACCCTTGGCTAGACTGGAGGTAGCGGATTTCTTTTTGCAATTTTGTATGGCGCAGCGCTAAACGGCATTTTTCGTGGAGTACTTGAAGCGGTGAATTCGATAATGGAAATGAAAAAACATCTATTCGAAAGTAGTATTTATTGTGCGATGGAGTTTTTTTTTCTTGTACCTTGACAGCGGGGACTGCCTATCGATGACGCCTCCAGTCCTATATGCTCTGAGCATGATGTTGGTTTGTTCAAAAAAACAACGCGCGTATAAGGTCGTAGCCTAATTGTTTGATGTACCTACTTTGGAGCAGAGGCCGTGGTTTCGAATCTACTGAGTTTCTCGGAATTTTCATGCAAAGAAGTATGGTGAAAGTTGACCCAATAATTATTTTAAAAAAAATTAAGAGCCGTTCATGGACATCAGTAGTATAATTTTACGTTTTAGTTTAAGCCTAGTTATCAATATGTTTTGTATATGTCTAGAAAGGGAATAAAGAAATTATAAAACAATATATTTTAGGATAAATGGAAAAACACAACGCAATTGATTCTGTTCGACCATAGTTTAGGTAATGTTCTTGTAAGTACGTTTCGTTTTAAGCATGATTGTATGTTTACCTACGTAAAATATTGGTTATTTTATAGTACACACATAAAATATGAAAGCTATATAATACCTAATCAAACAATCAATTAAACAGTAATGACATAAAGTAAAAAATAAAACAGTCTGACAAAAATGTTTAGACAATATTTAAATGAGAGTTTACGAACATTAACAAAGGAACGTTTTGATAAGGGGCCTCTTGTCAAAGTCAATGTCACATTGAGATAGAGCCAGTGTGACCATTTGTGGCAGATTTTTGCATTTGGGCAGATTTAATTTTTATTCATTTTCATTGCGGCAGAACATGTTATAGTTGTATTAAATGTGGCAGAGTTTGGTAGATTTGGGAATATTCAGCAAGTTATTTATTATTTTTGGGAACAAACTGAAAATTTGTTATTTTCTTCTACTACGAAGAAACATCTAAAGCTAAATACAGGTCAATGTTATAAACATAACCTGTATCAACTTTATAATCGCAGCTTTTACAGTCTGAACTCAATTAGCTTTTTGGATGCTTTGATAATGAATCGCAAATATTGATAAGTCTCTTTATTCGTCACGTCGTCAAAAACACTGGGTCACAAAATACACGGGATGTCGCCACCCTTCTTCAATTCACCCTTATAATTAAATAAATTAAATTAAATATAAATTAGTAATAATTATAAACTTGAATTTACAATTACAATAATACATTATTCGTAAGCTATAACAAAAATTCATGCCAAGGTTCTAGGTAATACATAAATTAATAGAGTACAATGTCATGAAGTAAAACGTAAATAAAATATCAGATTAAAAATTGAAATTATAATAAAGCTAAACTTAAATACTGTTGGGAAATCCTCGGAAAACGTGTGACGTCTCCAGCCTACATTTGGCCATTGTGGCGGACTATGGTTAAAACTCTCATCTGAGGGGACCCATGCCCTGCAATGGGACGTGAAAATGGGTCGATGATGTTGGTGATGTGCTTTTCAAATCTGAAAAACTTGACATAATCTGAATACTTATTATTTTCCCTAAAGATTTATGTAAATGGTACGGAGTTCCCTCCCAGCAACAAAATGCCAAAATATTCATTGTTAAAGAAGAAAATCTCTATACGGCAAAGTTTGGTGGGTAAGTTGATTCCCTGCTATTGATCTTCCGGTATTTACTTTGGTTACAAACCAAGGGCATTTAGTACTATTTTGGATATTAAACGATCAAACTTTCAGTGTATATGATCTTAAAACCAATAACTAGGTTAGTAATTTAGAAGTTACCCGATACTACAACAACTTCGTAATTTTCGATCAAAGGGCCCGACTGTAATATTTTAAAACAATAGAATATCTTCTATGGATTTTGAAAAACCTTGATCCTAATGAATATAATTAATTCATTATATTAAAAAGTTTTATCTACATATCTTCCATATTATTGAAATAAACATTGAACATCAGAACGTCTAAGGCGGTAGCATAGTATAAAAATACACGTATGCTAGGTCCATACCAACGTAGCAGTTCGGCTTGTATGTGTGCACGCTCGCCGCACGCCGTGTACAGACGCACACATTCGTATAATAATGAAAGGCGCGTGTGACGATCAGCACTACACAATGCGAGTGCATCGTGAGATTATACGAATGTGTGCTACCGTACACGGCACGCGGCGGGCACGCATAGGTACATACGAGCCGCGCTGCTGCGTTTGTATGGAGTTACCATATTTGTCTTATTATAGGTACTATGGCGGTAGCCAGATAGGGATATCCTTATAATAGAGAGAGAGATGTAGTCGTAGAAAAGGAACACTCTTTACTCCTTAGACAAGGGATCTTCCTTTGCATATGAGAGCAGCTATTCCATACTAATCGGCATCACAAGCGTGGCGGTTGTTTTGTCTTCCTTTTTCAAGTCTCAGTAATGGTGCCCAGTTTAGCAATTTGGAAAACGTTTGTTAAGTGCCCTAATACATGCGTTTGAGACCATAAAATAAATTGCCTAGATGTACCTGTTTATATGCTTATGTTATGCACAGTATTCTATGAACAAAAGGAGATTATATTTCATTTTGTAATAAATCTGAATAAGCTCATTTATGCTTACAGTATTAAAAAAGTTGAAAATTTCTCATAAAACTGTGTGGAGTTTACAATTAAAATAAAGTTTTATATGAACATCTTGCAGCAAATGTAACCACGTACAAGGTGACTTACAAGTTTGAAATTAGATTCGAGTAGAAGCCAATATTATTTAACGAGAAAACGCATTATCTCTAATTTTTTTTTAAACTTGTATTTTGAATGGTGACTACATAAACTCGATTTATGATTAATATTTGCCGGTAAGAGTGAACGAGTTTGGAATAAAATAACTGGATACATATTTATATAGAATTTATTAATGTTCTACAGTAGGAACGGACACTTTTCGTCACTAACGTAAATTAAGTGGCGTAATTTGATAAAATATTAATGCTGTAAAGGAGGTTCTTTCTTCCGTTGGATGAGGTTACCAAAACAAGCCAGGTGAAACTCCAAGTGGTTCAGAAGATTTTTATTTTCACCTTGTATGTTGCCAACACAATTTCACCCTATATGCAGAAGGTCCGGGCAGTTGTTCCCAAGAAGGGACTCATTCCTGGAAACCATTCCGCGAGATGAGGTTTTTCAGCCTATATGAGCGTACGAAATATCAGAAGATCCGGGTAGCAGTTCCCAAGAAGGGACTCAACTCCTGGTGCCATACTGAGCTCTCTGTATTCTCAGATTTCTCTTCACATTAACACAATTGTGTTCGAGTAGTCACCATTCGAGGGAAAATCTTAAGACCGCGCTTCAGAAATAACGCCAAATAGGTCAATGCCATATAGCGGATTCTTAGAGAACTAAAAGTGAACAATCTGGCTTAAGGCCGTCTATTACATAAAGTAGGTTTGTTACAATGCTATTTTTTTATAAAAGCTGATATCGTTTTCGTGAGGCTTAAAAACTTTAGCACATAAAAACTTGCTCTAAATTAAACTTCCAGAATTTATATTCACATAGTTAGTTACACTTTTCGTTTAAGCTTTTATCGATGAAGTTCCTTTCTAGTACGATCAAATTTAATCAAGGTGCTGAAGTTTGTTTTTTTTTGTTTGCAACAAGGCTTCAAAAATGTTCTCAGGTACCAAATTGTATGTATTTTTCAAATTCTGAGAAGCAACATTTTGCGTTCCAATTGCAATTCACTTTCGCTTTTCAATTGCAATGCAATCGATTGACTGTAGGTACTTTAAAAATGTTTAGTGCCTAAACCTTAATCAGCTAAAGCTCTTTTAACAAAGCCAAACTAGGTATTGAGCACAAAGACAATTATTATAAAATTAAATAAAAAAGGCATTAAATGGAAGAATTGTGCCAATTTTAAAATTTTAAACATTTTTTTGTTAGCGTATTAAGGATAGGCGAATAAAAATTATGACATTTGAATAAACCGTGACCATGGGACCTATAAAGAGCCCGAAACGTTAAATTGTTTGAAAAAACAAATATACGCGATATAGATCCAAAAAAATTGTATGTATATCTATGTGTAATAATCGCGAAAACCTAAGAATCCGAAATGATATCTGAATATAGATTTTCCCATTACATGTATATTAATAATACTATAAGCCGTGGCAGCCTCATGGTTTGATCTACCGCCTCTCAAGCAAAGGCCATGGGTTCGAGTCCGGGTTGGCACCTCTGAATTTCGTGGAATTTATATGCGACATTTAATTTTAAATTTATCTTGAGCTTTTCAGTTAAGGAAAATATCGTGATGAAACCGAAGAAGGTTTATACCGAAAACGTGTCAAGTACCCAACCCGCCTTCGGCCAGTATGGTGAACTATAACCTAGTCAGGAGATCCGTACAAAGCAGTGGTACGTATAAGGGGGTTGATGATGATGACATGTATATTAATATATGTTTTATTACTATTGCAGATTGGCACGTGTTCAAGCGAGAAAGATGCTGAAATACACCTTTTTAAAAATTATGAATGTGTTTAAAATAACTTACCTTATTATTACACACGTCACTTTTTTTTCGTGTAAGCTATACACCTATCCATAACAGTAACAGTGCCACTCAGAGGAAAGAATAAAGGACGAAAGATTTGTCACCCAGAGACATTTTTTTTGATGATATTTAGTGACAAGATGAACAAGTCATGCGCCGGGTGATACGCGTTACGCCTGTCTATAGCAGTTGCAGTACCACTCAGAGCTTTTAATCGCAGATCTGACGCTCACTGCCACAGCGCCCATCGCCCTGTGACATAAGTTGACAAGTCCCATGTATATATTGTAATTTCACCAGCAAAACCGGAACCTTGGCGGTAGAAGTAGTAAGTAAGGTGGCAGTACTTCCCTGGGCGAACTCTTTCACAAGGAGCTCTGCTGCTAGTAAAGTCGTCAAGTCCCATGTGCCTGTAATGTCACCAGCACCCTCACAGAAATTAGTGCTTGACGACTGAAATAGGTATGATTGTAGTTACTTTGGACAAACTCTTTCACATAGAGCTCTATTGCTACTACAAAATCACTATTATATTCATGGAAACATACACATACGTGTATACTCACAAATACACAGGCACGTAGATGGACTCACACTTAGAAGTAAACGTACACTCTCATTTAATCTGCTTATTGTTTACTACATGCATATAGTAAAAAACAATCGAAATTGTAACAATGGAGAGCAGTCTATCGGTAAATTACGTGATAGGTTATCTAGTACGAGCTCTAAAATTGAGTTTAATGCTGTTTCAAATTTGATATTGAATGTATATTTTAATATGTCTTCTTCTGTGGTATAAATATAATAATATTATGATTACTTTTACTTATTATATCATGATTAATTTTAGGCGACTATAATGGAATTCCTTCCCTGAATTTCTTCTCTGTACGCTATAACTTGAGTCTTTTCTAGGTAAGGCTTATTATTATTATAATAGGCATTATTTAGGTGTGCAAGCTTCATCGTCAACCTTATCGTTATTTTGTATTAAGGGAGATGGATACTCGTAACAAATACGCACTTCTTTTTTAAAATAAAATAGTAATGGTCACATTACTGCCACCTAGCAGTAATGTGAACATTACTGCGCTCCGGTTTTGAATGGTAAGGATGCTGGTGAAAATACAGGCACATGGGACTTGTTAACTTATGTCTCAGGCTGCGAGGCGTAGTGGCAGTACCCCTAAGATCTTTGCGATTTAAAGCTCTGAGTGGCACTGTAACAGTTGTGCTTTCAACAACAGGCAATTAACTTCTCCATTGCCTCAAATTATTAGGTTGTAAAGAAAGTTTCTACATTACCTTGCTAATTTTAAATACATGTCACACTGTCAGAAAATTCATGCATTTAAAGAGGACGAATTAGGCTCTTATTACACACCTTCCACATAGACACTCGCCATACTGCATTTACTTGATTTCGGTCCGTAAGTGTGTTTCAAACTAGCCAACAGGCTGGGAAAAATAAAGAAGGACATAATAATAATATGATGCACCGAAGAATTCACCAGAATAATAAATGTAAAAAATTTTCCAAACAAACCGACGTTAACTCAGTCAACCGTGACCATGGGACCTGCAAAGGGCCCGAAACGTCGGTTTGTTTGAAAAAACAAATATACGCGATTTAAATCCGGAAAAATAGTTTCATTTCCTATGTGTAACAATCGCGAAAACCTAAGAACTCGTCATGTACAACTCTTTTGCAATCGTGGTTCTTTAAAGGGTAAATCAAGAGATTTTTATTAATTTTAGTTTACAGGTAAGATGCACATCTGTTAAATTGTCTACCAGCAAAGGTTGTTTTTACCGTATCGTAGGGAAGGGAAGGTTTTTATCCTACGCAAGGGCATAACTTTGAGTTTTGGTCCCTTAAAATCACCAGAAGGATGTATAATTTTCGTACTGACAGGACTTTGGCAAACTTATAGAGGTCATCAGTGGGATATCTATAGGGTTTGAAATTAATTACTTTTAATAGTGATCTATTAGCTCTTTCTACATGTACCTATTTCGATTTAACAACTCCACCCCAGATTGTAATACAGTATGTTAGTACTGATTGAGCTAAGGCAATATAGATTTTTGTTAACAGATCTATATTTGCAGAGAGCCTGAGCGTTTTAAAAATCCAGATAGATTCCTAATTCTGCTATACACTAAGTCTAGATGAGGGTGATAAATTTTGATCTAGAACAACACCGAAGTACTTAGTTTTATCAACTTTAGCAATGATTGGGCAAACACAGTCTTTGCCGACAATGTCACAGTTGTGAATTTTAAGAACAAAGTTCTTATCTAGTTGAGTACTGTTGCGAATGGAGAAGCAAATGTAATTAGTTTTTGTAGTATTTAATGTAAGGAGATTAGCATTAAGCTACTTTGCAACCGTTTCCAGTCCCAAATTTGCATTGACACCCACTCCCTCCCATGTATCACCAGAAACACAATCGCAGTATCGTCAGCATAACAAAAGATTTCACCAGAAGCCAAAGCTATGTTAGATAAGTCATTTATATAAATGAGAAATAAGGTTAGTCCCAAAACACTACCCTGAGGAACTTCGGAAACAATATTCTAATCTTTGCTTCTGAAATTAGCCACCTTAACTCGTTGCGTTCTACCAGTTAAATAGCTGTGCAGCATACCTAATGAGGTACCGTGAATTCCCACATTCTCAAGCTTTTGTACAAGAATGAGAACAGAGACGGTGTCAAATGCCTTTTTTAAAATGTAGGAAAACACTTAGACATTTTTTGCCTGTATTCAATTTTTTGACAATTACAATAGTGAGCGCAATTACCACATCTTCTCTCGCTAGCTGTTTACGGAACCCAAATTGGTTATTAGAAAAAATCTTATATTTATTAAGATAATTGTTTAGCCAGACATTTATTAACTTTTCTATGATTTTAGATATATAGTTTAGGACCGATATAGGGCGATAGTTATTTCATTTATACGTTGTCTCTGTCTCCACTCTTGTAAACCGGTGTCACAATAGATTTTTAAGTGCATTGGAGTTTAAGATACATGTGTTAAAGCACAAATTCGCCAAGTGACTAAGTAAAGGTACAAAGAAATATTTACCTTCCTTAAGGAAAGCGGTGGGTATGTTATCCCAACTATTAGAGCTGTTGAAATCTAGGCTCATGAGTACGCCTTCAATTTCAGATGGATCGGTATCCAAGAGCACAAAATATGAAATATGTGTGGATGTTAAATTGTTATAGAAAGAGTGTCTGCCTTGAGTATTGGCCTTGGAAAATATCTGTGTAGCTAAACTCTGGCCAATACTGGCGAAGTATTTTTCAACATAAATAACAGATAACAAGGGTGAAGGGGAGTGATTAAGAAGGTTGATATTAGTAGTTTCATTTGCTTTAAACGAGGTAATTTTTCCTTTGTTTTCCGAAGGGTTTCAGTATTTTTTGTTGACTTTGCTAAATTCTCACGTTCATATTTTCTTTTTAGTGTTTTTAAATTAAGGTAGTAAAATAATTCCTATATCTTTTACATATAACACGTAGAATTTCTCTCTTTCGCATGTAGTTTCTATTTATAATATATCGCAGTACAACCTCAGTTGTGTATGGTGTGATAATTGTTCTGTTTCTAGAAATGGAGAGTATTTTCGTATGCTCTACAAGAAATATAGAAACCTTTGTAATCAGAAGGTTGGTAATAATGTAAGGGTCCATGTTATAATCAAATAAGTTCAGAAGGTTTTGTTTTTCTATACTTTTTAATGCGCTCTCATAATTTATTATAGTTTTTATTTTGGAAGGAGGAGAAAATTTTTAAGTGTCAGATAAGTTAACAAATATCATAAGATGATCCGTTATAGATGTTTTAATGACAGCTATAAGAGCTGAATAACGTTTCTTGTTAAGTCTTAACATAAAAT